CGCAAGGCTGGCCCAGGCAATGCTTACCTTCTGCTGCAGGATTGACGGGTCGCCGAGAAGGCTTTCGTTCACTTCTATTAATCTCCCTCGAATGCAGCTGCAGAGAATTTGCAGTTTAGTAAAAGCAGCAAGAACGATTCAAGACTACAAACACAAAACTCTTATCAATCTACCTGTATATGGTATATTCTTCCCCATCGGAGCAGTAAATGCGACACAGAGGGGCAAGTTCTGTTAGAAACTGAGCACCCTAGGAAGAAACAAGGTATGAGAAAGTTAGAGGCTGGCTACTGTTTGCTAACTACAGATGTTCTGAGGGAACAACATTTTCTGCAAGACGACAGGAATCATTGCTATTGTGGACTATTGATTACCACACTTTCCCCTTCTCCCTTTTGGCCAGAGACAGCTTTGGCATCTCTCATGGACAGAGTAATGGGTTTCAAATAGAGGGAACCCAATATCTAAGTCCTGGATATGAATGAATCTCATTAGGCTGGCCTTAGGTCCATTACTGAGCACCTCACTGGCTTTGCAGGATAATATATATTGTAACCTGCCTTGAGACCTTGGAATAGGGAAGAGGAGAATCCAGAAATAATGGTCTGATGCTGGTTAGGCCTTTACTTGATTTGTTGCTATAATCAATGGGCAATGATGTGTTCAGAGGGCAGGCCAAAGATTTTAACAAGCCTAAGCGGTGAGTTAACAACTATCAGCCTGTGAGGCGCCATCAGCCGCTCCAAGCTACCACAAAGCTCAGGGAAGCGAGAGAGGCACAGAGGCATGACGGTAAAAAATGTGAGTCTTGTGGCACCCTGAAAGACTTGCACATTTGTACAAGGGGCATCCCCTGATATCAAGGCCTTGGTTTTCAGCCGAGGTCAGGATGAAGTGCGCCGTACCCGTTTTGACTTCCCAGAGACTTTATTTTGCAGCCTGCTGCAGTTTGCGCTGATCTGGTAGCTAATTCTCTCGATTGCTTTTCCCTTCTGTAAAACAGGATGGGCGTCTGCTAGAGCAATGACACAAATTCTACAAGAAAAGAAAACGAGAACCATTATCCACTTAGGCTCCATTTTGGGAATCTGTTCAGTCTTGCATGGCCAGGGTCATAAATTCAGTGCAGGCTCTTCATCTGAAGTTACACCCTCCCATGCATGTTTCATTTGGGGAAATCCAGCATACTTTCTATCCCAGCTCCTGAAGGGAAGTACACAACAGAGCTAGGACAAACAGAATGTACGGAAGCATCTGGGAAAATGGCAGGGTGGCCTCAATATAAAGCTCTCCCCAATTTTACCTGCAGAAGTGCTGCCTCGTGCACAGTACATTTCAACGCAACGCGCAAAGAGTTTGCATATTTGGATCTGCAGGTAAGTTTATGCATTTGTTTAAGGCAGTTCAGACCAGTGGT